CATGTACAGTGCCTTACGATTTTTGTCATGTTTACAACCATAAACAGACCACGAAGATTGTATTTTAACAACTGTGACAACTGTGAAGTGAAAATAAAATTATTATTATGATCCCGTTGTTATTTTAAAAAATAGAAAAGTGAAAAGTAGGGCCCACTCAAGTGTTCATGCAACTTGGAGTGCATTGAATTGCCTTTAAAACATTTCTAATGACGGCTAAATGTTCACAGCTTGTCCTATTGATTAAATATAGGCTTCCTGTGTGTAATCTACTCTCTATACAACTGTTCTGTGGGCCTCAGAGCTATGGACGACATGTATTGGTCTAGTTTAAAGCAGCGTTAATTTATACCAAGGCGTCCCAAGATTTTAACATCTTACGGAGCACTGATCAGTTCATTTGGACCCAAACACAAAACGCAATGTATGAGCCTGAAAAAACTGAGACACAAGTTCAAACAGAAAAGAGAGCGCGTCCTTCAGCTTTGGTCCCTTTTGCAAAAGCCCGAACCTATTCAATATAAAGTCTCCATATGAAAACAGACTAAACACAAATATGGGGTATGTAACTTTAAATTAACAACAATGGAACTCTGTAATGAAATCCATGTCACTCGTTCCTGGCTCTAAAACAATTTGCTAGTTTCACATCATGTACAGTATTTTTTGCCTCTGTCACATCTTTAGATCAGCTTTTTCAGACAAAGAAGTGGAAAAAAGAATACCACACTCATGCGGCCAATCCACTCTTGACCCAAAGAGTCAAACAGAGACCAGATGGAGACCAGATAGAGACCAGATAGAGACCAGATAGAGACCAGATAGAGACCAGATAGAGACCAGATAGAAACCAGATAGAGACCAGATAGAGACCAGATAGAGACCAGATAGAGACCAGCAAGAGACCAGAGAGAAACTCCGCCATTATCATTGCCGACACCCCTTACTGCACGTTACTCAAGTCGCACAATGAACTTCATGATAGGACTTGTGCGCGTGTTGTCATGAGACTTTATCCCTGACCTGGAGTTGGAGAGGATAAAGTTGGACTTGAGTCTGAGTCCGACTCTCGACCCATCTCTGATTGTCACCACTTCTCGACACCTTTAATGAGAGTGTGCTGATAAAGAACATGTAGAACTTTGTGACTGCTCTAAGCTGAGCCTAGGATATGACTTTTGACGCTTACCATAGTTACCATGAAAGATGTTTACGCTGCTCTCCACCACAATGTGAAAGGCTCTTTGGAACGTTTTGATGTCACATAGTCCGGATGGAACAGTCTTCTTTGCTGCTGAGTTGGTCATATAAAAGACAATGATGTGTCATGGGTCTGAAAGGGTTAACCCCTCCTCCTTCACGCTGTCTCCATGGTTACGGCTGCCCCCCTCTCTCCTTCCTTGCCGTCGAGTGGGTGGATTCAGGATAAAAGTCTCTGTCTCATTATCACACGCTCTAGTCCTCCTTTCGCACACGCTGAAAACAAAACGGCAAAAGGACAAGGCGCGCACTAGACACGGAGTACCAGCCGCAGTTTGGGGTAAGAATCCTTGAGCTGGGTTCACCAAAGGAGTGCCACTGCTTCCATCCGTGTGTCTGTGAGGAACGTGCAGCCCTCTCTCTTTAATTCATTCATTCGTGTGCAAGTTAGCCTGCAATATCTTCTCTCATTTGTTCAATCATTTGTGTGTAAGTTATGCTGCAATATCTTCACTCATTTGCCCAATCACTTGCGTGTAAGTTAGCCTTGTTATTATGCAGGGGGTCCCATAGACACCAATTTACTCTTTTAATCGTTAATTTTGCCTCCATTTGTATTGAAAAAATAATGGTTTGATTTTCCTTGTCAGATTCCATTTTGCATTTTCAAAACATCTTAAGCTTGTTGATTTGCATAAGGGCCTATGGAATATGCCAAAAGGTAGTTTGGTTCTATCACTATAGTTTTCACCTGCATTTGGCACGGCCGGTCTTAAGGTCACAGGAGGGGCCCCAGGAATGCCTCAACCAAATGTTCCATCAGAGCAGTTTTGCACTAAAGACATAGCTAATGAGCTAAATGTCATTATAATATGTCCAAGTATTCTCTTCTGTTCAGAAGGGAATTTACAGAATGTTTTTTCCCTATAGTTTATATGAATATTGTTTCTAGATATTACCCACATCTTCCCTCGTGATTGAGGTTTAAGACATGAATCGCTCTAATACTGTATGTGGATAGGGGATCACAGCTGAAGCCCAAGCACCAGTAATCCATAGGGGTCATCTATTTAATCGATGTATCGATGTGTCTTCCCTGCGATCCACCTACATTGATCGGCGCTCAGCTATTTGGCCTCGATCCTAGCCGCACATCAACACTACATCCTTTTAAATGGAAACATTTTGATTGTATCAATATAGTTCTTACATTAAATCATAGTCACAAAGTGCAATGGAATTATAAATTCTTTGGTGTCTGAATGTTAATCTAAACAAATGTAATATGTTTTTCGCCCGTGTCGTCAACAAGCCTTTGCAGCGGCGCTGTAAATTTACGTCACAAGCTCACAACAACATGGATAATGGTAGCAGCGGTAGCAGCGAGGCTTTTAAACCTCCAAATTTGCGTTCGTCAGTAAGGAGATACTTGGTATTCATTCTTATTTAACCACTATAGAAATAAAACGTATATTATATAATTTGAAACACTTAGGTGGTGCTGTAAAACATGTGTTAAGCACTGCATTGTTATACATTTGTGTATAACAATATCATGTGAGTTATTTATAAGTTAGCTCTTGGGCAAAATGAATGTTTTTGTTAAATTTGTAAAAAAGTTGTATTTCTTGTTTAGCGCTTTAAATCTGAGTTAGATTTCTAAGTTTATTTACAGTAAAAGCCAATATTACTGTATCGATATATCGTTCAAAATCTACTGTATCGTATCAAATTGTATCGTTTTAAAAATTAAGATATAATTTTTTATCAAAATCATTTGCTCTCATATCGATATGGATCGTATCGTTCTAAAAACGCATCGTTACACCCCTAGAAATCCAACATGGTTTCTCATTTTAAACTAAGGGCCTGTGCTCTATGGCGTATGGTCTAACCACAGAGGACCAAACATTAAGGATAGTGACGCAAGTTGTCCTCTCTGGTCCTCTTTGGTCCACTCGTCCTCTGATCCTCCCTGTCTCGGGTCCTGCCTGTGTCTCTGGTCCTCCCTGTCTCTCTTGTCCTCCCTGTCTCTCTAGCTCTCCGTCTCTCTGGTCTGCCCGGTCTCTGGTCCTCCTTCTCACTCTAGTCCTCCCTGTGTCCTTGGTCCTCCCGGCCTCTGGTCATTCTGGTCTTGTTCAGTAAGAGTGCTGTTTGTGGTACTTCATGTTCATCTTCATGTGTTATTTGTGAGGCTAAAATTACATCCCCCAGCTTTAAGTCTGCTGTACAAAGTTTTGTGCACCTGTATTTCTTTCATTACACTCCAGGGGTAGAGAGCAGGCGGCGGACATGTTGGAGCTGCTGTGGTCATTGTGTTGCCATTAAATTAGGTTACTTTAGATAATTTCTCAGGTAAAATAACATGTCTGTGTTTGCAGACGGTAAAACAAATTCTACTCCTCCGTCGGGTGCCAGTTTGGGAGTTGCAGGCGGAAAGCATTTTTTACCTGTTTATCCTGGGACCTACATGCTGCCGTTAGGTCAGTTAATACGCAGAAACGAAGTGTATAACAACTATGCAGACGACACTCAGATCTATGTCTCACTGACTGCAGGAGAACATGGACCAGTGGACTCACTCCTTCACTGTATCCAACAGATCAGTGAGTGGATGCAAAACAACTTTCTCCGGCTAAACACAGACAAAACCGAAATGATTGTCTTTGGTCCCCAGAAACAAAGAGAGAGCGTCATCTGTCACCTACAATCTCTCTCCCTAAAACCTTCAAACCAGGTCAGAAATCTAGGGGTAATACTGGACTCAGACTTCAATTTTAATAGCCACATCAAATCAGTAACATCAGCAGCTTTTTACCACCTAAAAAACATTGCCAGGATCAAAAACATAGTGTCTAAAGCAGACTTTGAGATTCTCATCCATGCATTTGTCTCCAGTAGGTTAGACTACTGCAATGGCCTGCTCACAGGTCTGTCCAAACAAGCTGTAAAACAGCTGCAGTACATTCAAAATGCAGCAGCTCGAGTCCTGACTAGAACCATGAAGTATGACCATATTAGTCCAGTCCTCAGGTCTCTGCACTGGCTTCCTGTGGCTCAGAGAATAGACTTTAAAACAGCTCTGCTTGTGTACAAGTCTCTCCATGGCCTCGCACCATAAGATATTAGTGACATGTTAGTCCCATATGAACCAGCCCGAACTCTGAGGAGCACAGGGACTGGACTCCTGCTGGTGCTCAGAGTCAGGACTAAACATGGGGAGGCTGCATTTCAGATTCATGCTGCTAAAATCTGGAACAATCTTCCTGAAGATGTGAGACAGGCCTCCTCTCTGACAATGTTTAAAACCAGGTTGAAAACAGTTCTGTTTTGCTGTGCATACTGTCAGGGATGAAGCAGACAGAGACGGATCGTGGTGCGCCAAACTCTGGAAGTTTATTTAAGTTTCTCTCAAGTTCCAGTGGTTTCCTTTGTTTCTTTCTCTCAGACAGAATAAAGGCAGTACACAGTTTATATAGTCATTGTCACGTCACACATTGAAAGACATACGTGTCACACAGAGACACTCACATCATAGTCAAAATAATCAGAGTCCTTGTAGAGTCCTGCACGTAGGCCATATTGCTATCTAATACTAACAATACAGCTGAGGGATTTTATGTTTGTGTCTTTCTTTTTAATGTACTGTGATTATTTATTATTTTAATGCTCTTTTAGCACTTTGAGTTGTCTTGTGTATGAATTGTGCTATACAAATAAACTTGCCTTGCCTTGCCTTCATATAGAAAACAGGTTCCTTGAAACTCCTGCGTGCTCACCTTTTTCTCTCTGTGCCGCAGGAAACCCAGATCAACCAGATCCCGACCAAGTACAGCCAGGCTGAGTCCACCAAGTTCCTGGTCCTGACTGTGGTCTCCATCCTTTGCATCCTGCTGGTTCTATTGATTTCCACGGTGATCTACTGTCTGAGGAACAGGTCCCACCACAAACTGAAGGAGAAGCTGAGCAACCTGGGCCAGGAGAGCAATGTGGACCAGACCTCCTCCTACCAGGTCTGTCGGCCAAGTTTAGACTGAGTTTATTGTTTTGTATTTTTGTTGTGAATAGTTTTTTGTGTTTTGTGTTTTGTAGTGCAGTAGTAGTTTATGGTTCTTATATGATGTTGTACTATTGCCCTTTGCAGGAGCTGTGTCGTCAGCGCATGTCCAAACCTGAGCGCTCTGAGCCTTTGTCCTCGCGTCTCAACAGTGTGGCCTCTCAGTTTAGTGACACTGCTGCAGCTGCAGCCGCATCAGTCAGTCCCTCGGCTCGGGCCAGTCTGTCTTCTTGGAGCGAAGAGCCCAGTGTGTCCAGCCTGGACATCTCCACCGGTCACATGATCCTGGTGAGACCGCAGATCAGGGAAGGCCAGTGGTACAGTGCACATACAGACAAGACAAGATCAAGAGCTGCTTTAGCTTTTAGCTTTACAATCTTCACTGTGGCTCCTATTGACTTACATTGAAAAGAAAACTCCATTTTGGGCTTAAAACATCTGTGGTTAATCATTCCTGATCCTGGTGTCCAAATATGAGCCATAAGGATTGATCAATCAGATGCCTTCATTTCCGGGGGAAACGCCAGCTTGCTTTAGCAACAATGTTTGCATACAATGGCAGGGGTCACCAACCTGGTGCCCAGGGGCGCATGGTCGCCTGCAAGGACCACAAAAGGGACATGCGAAGCATGATCTAAAAACAGTATTGGTCCCAGTAGCCTGTTGGCCCCCGCCTTTTGTCTCCTCCGCTCAGTGATTGTTGTTTGCAAAAGAGCATAAACATTCAGTCTGCAGAGCAGAGTCTAAGCTCAGTTTTTATCTTCAAAGTATCCAAAAAGAGTCAGTATTCACTGAGAGAAGACCTGTTCAAGAGTGAGGCAGACACTTGTCAATGGGGGCGCAGAAAATACGTGTGTGATTAGTGCGATGTGACCTGGTTTTAATATATCTTTCAAAATAGCTACAGTGCCTTGCAAAAGTATTCACTTTTGCAAGGCACGTATTGGCTTTTTACCCATTTTGTTACATTACAGCCTTTAGTTCAATGTTTTTTAAATCTAACAATAGTCTAAGTGTATTGAGAAAAATATATACATAAAACTATTTATCAGAAATAAAAACATGGAAATTAGCATGTGCATATGTATTCACCCCCTTTGTTATGAAGCCCATAAAAAGCTCTGGTGCAACCAATCACCTTCAGAAGTCACATAATTAGTGAAATGATGTCTACCTGTGTGCAATCTAAGTGTCACATGATCTGTCAGTACATATGAGATCATGGCTGGGCGATGTGGCAAAAAAAAAAACAAACACCAAATCCGATTTTCGATTTTAATTGATTATTTTTTTCTATTTAAAAACAAACTACAATTGACAAAGAAATAGATTTTCCTTTATGCAGTTTAATCTAAATCCCTATGGAGCACAAGTGTAACAGAAAATAAGCCTTTAAACATGCGTGTAAACAAGATGGCCCTGCCATTGTAAACAGTGAAAATGCATCTTAACAGTTTTCTAATAACTTCACTTACAGTAACACAATGCACCTTCAAAATAACTTCAAATGCACAAACGAGGGCCATAGTGAATATATCAAATCGTATTAAACACATGCATTATTTACATGAAATATCACATTTTTAAAACTAATGATTACTCTAAATACAAATGTTATAACAGAGAAAGTCTTTTACAAAAGCCTCCTCCTTGGGTTTTCATGCTTGTTCTTTCAACCGTGTCAGAGTAACTGTGCTGTAGTACAACTGTCCAGCTGGTGGCGCTAATACTAACTTCAGTGACTACCTCATTGTCAAGAGTTAAGTTTTCTGTTTACATTCTGCTACCGTAGCTAACAGATAGAGCAGGGAACACGCATGGATCTATAATTAACCTGATGAACATGTTGTTTGTATCAGAGCAATGAGAGCAATGTGCAGCAGCTCGGTGGGACACGTGTGTGCAAGCACGCCGCGAACACGGGCGCGCACTTTGGAGTAATAAGCGTGAGCGCTGAGAAATGAATGAATGACAATGAAAGACGACCGGAGCCTGCCTGCCTGCGTGTGTCTGTGCGTGTTTGTTCTGGCGATTAAATAAAGACTGATTCTTGAACGTTTGAAGTGTTATTGCAACAGCACCAACTGTGAGAGCGAACGTCAGGCCAGAAGGAGACTGTTAGCATTAGGTTAGCTTTCAAAATGACTGCTCAACACTTGCGTGTTAGCACTGTAGCTCTGCGCTGGAGAAAAAAATTCGATTTTCATTCAAAAGAAATCGCCCTAAACGTCAAATCGATCGATCAATCGCACAGCCCTAATACACACCTTTTTTGAAAGGCCTTAGAGGCTGAAACACCTAAGCAAGAGGCACCACTAACCAAACACTGCCATGAAGACCAAGGAACTCTCCAAACAAGTCAGGGTTAGGTTATAAAAAAATATCCAAATCTTTGATGATCCCCAGGAGCACAATCAAATCTATCATAACCAAATGGAAAGAACATGGCACAACAGCAAACCTGCCACAAGACGGCCGCCCACCAAAACTCACAGACCGGGCAAGGAGGGCATTAATCAGAGAGGCAGCACAGAGACCTAAGGTAACCCTGGAGGAGTTCCACAGCAGAGACTGGAGTATCATAGGCTCCATAGAGTTGGGCTTTATGGCAGAGTGGCCAGAAAAAAGCCATTACTTTCAGCAACAAAAAAAAATGGCATGTTTTGAGTTTGCGAAAAGGCATGTGGGAGACTCCCAAAATGTATGGAGGAAGGTGCTCTGGTCTGATGAGACTAAAATTGAACTTTTCGGCCATCAAGGAAAACGCTATGTCTGGCGCAAACCCAACACATCACATCATCCAAAGAAAACCATCCGAACAGTGAAACATGGTGGTGCCAGCATCATGCTGTGGGGAGGTTTTTCAGCAGCCGGGACTGGGAAACTGGTCAGAGTTGAGGGAAAGATGGATGGTGCTAAATACAGGGATATTCTTGAGCAAAACCTGCACCACTCTGTGAGTGATTTGAGGCTAGGAGGGAGGTTCACCTTCCAGCAGGACAATGACCCCAAACACACTGCTAAAGCAACACTTGTGGTTTAAGGGGAAACATGTATATGTGTTGGAATGGCCTAGTCAAAGCCCAGACCTCAATCCAATAGAAAATCTTAGAAATTGATCAATTCTCTTGACCAATGAAATGCATCAGGATAAACCAGGGATAAGAATTATCTGCGAATCCGCGAATTCCGACTATAATTTCTGTGAAATGTGTGACTGCGGGCTGTTTGCGTTACGTACTCAAACGGGATTAACATCCTCCGCTCTGACCCCGGTGAGCAACTGTGGCCGCTTTGACACAGCTCAGCGAACGCGCAGCCGTAACGTGGTCATGTACCGCGTACCATAGACGCAAAACCGTAACATGGTCATGTACCGAGCGCGGACCTTAGACACACAGCCGTAACGTGGTCATGTACCACGGACCATAGACGCGGACAGAATCACACAGGCGCGATCGGGACCATCCTTGCACGTGCGGGTCTTGCCTGTCTCCCCCGTCTCTCCCCCATCTCTCCCCCATGTCTCTCTCCCGTCTCCCCAAAGTCTCCTCACAAAGCACAGCCAAAACTCACTGAATTAAAGCTCAGGTACCAAAATGTTCGCTTGCATTGACAATACATGTTTTTTGTGCAAAACAAAACAAAACAAACCACAACAGTCGTGTTTTTTTATTTTGCTTACTTAAGAAAGAGCCATGTGAGTCATTATTTGACTTTTTGGGCTGAGAGAGGATTTTTTAATATATTCTTTCTACATATAGTGCCACTTTATTGCCAAACTCTTTGTGACTTATTGTATTGAGAAACATGTGTTAGTCTCACATTTTTGTGGCTGTTTTATTACCTTTCCTGTGTGGAAGTTGTATATTTTTTGTTTTATTCTACTGAAGGTTTATAATAATACACTGCATTGTTATTGACAGCCACAAGTGTCAGCTCTCAAATTCTTTTGAAATTATGTTTCTATCTGCTACAGAGGCCGAGATATCAATCATTCTGTAGACGATACATTTCAGGAAAACTTCAGGTTTTGGAGGGTGGTTCTGAAGTTAGCCATAGGTTATACAGGTCTGTTTTACCAGGTGTGTCAGGCCTTAATGGCTTAAAACATTAGCTATGCCACCACCGCGGCCAGTGGCTCTTGGCACATTAATAAAAGTACAATCTAAAAGCTCGGAGAAGGCAGCTGATTCGCCGCTGTTGACCCACGTCTCAACCAGAAACAGTAGATCCAATGACTGCGACGTGAAAAAGTCTTGCAGAATAAATGTCTTGTTCACAATTGATCTAGCGTTCATGAGTGTGCTTTTCACAGCAGCCGTAGACAGCAGCCGCTGGATCTGCCTGGCTCAGTGAGCGAAGGTATTTACCGGTCAATCTTTGTTCCCTCCCTCACCTGTAATCATGAGCTTTGGGTAATGACCAAAAAAACGAGATCACGAAAATAAGCGGTCGGGGCTGGGCGCTCCCTTAGAGATAGGGTGAGGAGCTCAGTCACACAGGAGGAGCTCGGGAGAAGCTCTGCTTCTCCACATTGAGAGGAACCAGTTGAGGTGGCTTGTAAATCTGTTCTGGATGCCTCCTGGACTCCTCCCTGGGGAGGAGACGCGGGGGAGAACCAGGACACGCTGGAGGGACTATGTCTCTCAGCTGGCCTGGGAACGCCTTGGGGTCTCCCCGGATGAGCTGGAGGAAGTGTGTGTGAATAGGGAAGTCTGGGCGTTTCTGCTTAGACTGCTGCTCCCGCGACCCGGCAACAGGTGAAGCGGAAGAAAACGAAATGGTCTCTCTCTCTTCTTTCTGGTCTCTCTCACTCTGGTCTTTCTCTCGCTGGTCTCCCTCTATCTGGTCTCCGTCTATCTGGTCTCTCTCTCTCTGGTCTCTCACTGGTCTCACAACGTCTTTCCTTGGTGCTTGTGCCGTGAGAGACGTTGTTTTAAAAGTGTAATGTTTGTTTTGATTTGTTCCCTAAGCCAACACGCAACATGGGGTCATATAATGAATTAATGGATATTTATTTATTATTGTGTCTTGCATACAACTGTATGCCCAGCCCTTTCATGGGCTTATAAGACACCAATATAAAGAACAGGATCAGATGACTGTGTAGGATGAGAATCCAAACCGTTGTTGCTGCTGTTCCATCTACCAGACCAGGACTCTCAGACTGTGATTTTAGCGCCCCCTAGCGGCAACAAAGGACTACACACATTCCAAACTTAAGTGTGCTGTATATGCAACTAAAATGTAAACCTGCATCTCTGTTGTCATTAATCTTTATTGAAGTGTGAGTCACGATGTCTGTTGAAGTGTTTGTGCTTTAAACAATTGTGTTTAATATGTCTCATGCCCAGAAGTTCCTGTGTTGTGAAAAGCCGGAAACAGGAAGTGACTACAACTGGAGACAAAACCAGTCTGAATGCAGAGCGCGCCCTCTTAAATTTTGGCCTTCTTGCTCTCCTCGGCTTTTTGTCTCTCCTGGGTTTCGGCCCTCACGTTCTGTGCCTGCGGCTGGATCCGCGCGTATGAGCTCAAACAGGCTCGTTTCAACTCCCTGAACTTGCTCAATCCACTGCTTTCTCCCCTGCACAACAACAAGCGGGAAGGGACGCGACGCTACACAGCCGAATACTAGGAGACAACAACAAAGGAACTAACCTTGCCTGCAAGCTGAATTCTCGCGGTATTTGTGAGTTCACAAACACTCGAGAATACATCTTGTACCGCTCCCGCTTACACTTTTCGAGTCGAACCACTGGGTGTGCGAGCCAATCACGCGCCAGTCTGGGGGTTTAGGGCGGGATATCCGGGTTTGACGAAAGCAAGAAGTGCCGGGCCGAAGCAAAACAAACATGGCTACGCAAGAGGACGGACGCGTAGCTGAGGCTATCAAGTCAGTTTTAGCAGAATCTCCAATTTCTTTTTTGAAAGATAAACAGCGAGAGGCGCTTTGTGCATTTCTGGACGGCAAAGATGTTTGTGCATTTTTACCTACGTAAGTCAAACCTTGGTAGGCGGGCACACAGCGTCACTTCGCCCAATCAGCTTCAAGTATTCTGCTGCTTACCCCTCCTTTCCCCGAAAGGATTCTCTGTGAGAAATCCCAGATTGATATCGCGGAGAACGCGTTAGAGTTCTACACAATCATCAATCTGGCTCTTGCCAGGTTACAAAGGAACTTTTCTGGGATCAAAGCCGGACCACGTGTCCACCAACAAAGAAACTTTACTAAAAGCAACCTTCACACAGTAAGAAGTATCGTTGAATACCGATGTGTTTAAATGTGTCTGCTTTTGGGTTATTGTGCACATTCTTTGAATTGTGACTCACACAGTTTCTTATGCTCTGAGGTTTTTCGTTTGGTAAATAAACAGCTAAATCTCTATCAGCCTCCAGTGTTATTAGTTAGTAGTTTGGAAGATGGGCTCTCTGGCGAATAGAACTCACACTTTTAGATATTTATGAGATTGATTTTAAAACCCCGCTTGATTCTTTTAGTTGGGTCTTGAGACTTTTCTTTCCCCCTCTTCAGAAAGGGTATCTCTATATTAGTCAAAATTAGACCATTCTTAGAACAAGCACACCCTTATAAAGGTAGATATAAGGGAATTTCCAATAAGGAATAGTTACGACTGTGTAGATATGTTTTAGATATGCAATGTATCCAAATGCACTGTGTATCTAAGACATATATGCATTTAGTTACCCTACATAATGGTGCCCCAAATGAAATTTGTGCATGGTCCTACAGACTGCATAACTTTTAACTCCATACTCTGATAGTAAGCTGTAAACACAGTGCTAAGCTACTGCTAACACGTGCTCCACCAGGCCCCAATCTGAGCACAGCCTTTCTTTTGTTCTCGCTCCTAAAGTACTTTGTCTTATTTTAATGCATGCTTAATAGGCCTAGGGTCTGAGATACAGAGGCGCGAATTTCGCCCTGATTTCTCTCATTTCCAGATCCCTACTGGTAGCTCCACAAGGGATCAGCCTGACTCAATGCTGTGAGAGGCTGTACACACGCAGCCTACACACACACAGTAGTCACGGCAACCAAGTCGCTTTGCTAACGTGAAAAGCGCAAAGGCAACTCTCATAAGAGTTAGCCCAGACGCCTGAGCGCGTCCTTCTGAGTCCCCACGACCCAGACGCCCACTAAAAAAGGATCGCAACCTAATTAGTGGACAACAGAGTTATAGTCTCTGTACAAGCGTGTCACTACACGCATTCCGTCTGTCCGTCCGCTCCTCGAACGGACCGACGCACCCCTTAACTGTGCCCGTTTGTACACAAACGGCAAACCCAGCACATAGAAAAGGGCCACGCAGCCCTTCTCTAACAGTTTTGTAACAAAAAATTTAATGATTTACGCTTTGTACCCACTGCGGAATCTATGTCATAACTTCTCCAGGTCATGCTTCAGGCATAACCGGAGAAATATAATTGCATTTGACCCGTAAACTTTGAAAAACTGCTCACCGACTCTTTTCCCACGAACAATGCTTTGACTAACATGACTGAATGTGCGTGTACGTTGTACTGATGAATGTGTGATGCAAACTCTGCTGTTGTGCAAATGCTGAACCGCTGCTGTGCAACACGCTACAAGCTATTCACTGGCCAAGCTGACAGTTATTGTACTAACTCTTAATACTGTTTAACACCGCTACAAGCTAGCAACTGACCAGCGCGCGTGTGGTTTGACAAACTAATCCTGACGCACACCGAACTGCCCCAGGACTGACGTCTCCAAACACACGCACACACAACTCTGCTGCACCTGTGCTGTTTAACCCGCTCTCTCCCACGCTGGTCTAAACTGCTAAAACTTGTTCGCACTAACCCAGAAGCTACCTGATACATGCTCAAAATCACACCCACAACAATACACATCACACAGTCACCCCAACATGGAAGAACTGGACCCCTCCAGACCCTTCTGTGAGCCAAACCGGGAACAGAATGATGTTGTAATTAACCTTTTACAAACCTTTGCTGCTAAATTGATTCCAGGGACCTGGAACCAATTTGATGGGGCTACGGCCCCCACACTAGATCAGGCCGCACGAGACCTGGCGTCTGACGCCACAACAAATGCACTCGAACGTAAGAACCTCACCCTGTGGCTGGGTAAATTAGCCATACTTTCCCAGCAGTATCTGCAAAAAAGCGATGCTAAAGCTAAGGATCTCCAGGAAAAGATCCAAACCATAGAAAGGGAAAGGGACGTTATCGCGTATGAGTTAATTAAAACTCACAAAACTGTTGCACACCTCAAGGAACAATACCTTCAGAACAATGGGGTCCACCAGCCCGAGCTGTGCACAACCCCACCTTCACCAAAAGTAATACGCCTGGCCGCAAAGAAGACTACTTCTACAGGGTCCCCACAAACGAAGGACATGAGCCTGCCAGGACTAAGCCCCAAGGAAGTGTGCAGACGTCCACGGAAGACCTCCCACAGGTAAGACATGAATCTCCCCATGTGCAGGAACACCACGACCGCAGGACGTCTTGGGCCAATACAGGCCCTAACCAACCAACACGGTCCAACATAAATGGTAGGTACCCAAACTGGACCAGGTCAAACTACGACCACTAGACTGCCCACCTAGTCAGAGGTACAGTAACAGACCGGAACCCCCAGACAGAGGACCGGACCCACCTGACTACCACGGCTACCGGCAACCGGCCCACTGCCAGGAAGCCCCCAAGGACCCGCTAAGTCACAACAGACAAGACTCTTACAGTGACCGCTCACAGTGCCCCAGGTACCCAGACTTCCCGGATGTAAGACCCGTACCGCCCACTAGCCGACAGGACTGCCAAGACTATAGGAGACGTGACCCCTATAGCCCACCCCCCACCTGCCCCCGCGAGCGCCAAATGCATGTCCCAATACAAGGTCGAGACTACCCCGGACCAACAATCCGTGACTTTGACCTTATTGCCCGCCACATTAACCGCTTTGAACCCCAACCGGGAAACCCTGCAGACCCCCAGTCGTACCTCAGAGACATTGACTTCTACTCTAAACGTTTGCTCAATGCATCTCTAGAGGACAAAGTATTCTTAATAAAACTTACGTCCAACAGGGAAGTTAATAACTTTATAGACAGACAGTCGCCCGCCACACGGCCAAACTACGACAATCTCTGTCAGGCCCTCCTCAACGAATACTTTGACTTTGGAACATCTGGTACACTCACTGCAGCCCTAACCGTCAGACAGGCCCGTAACGAGCCGTCAGACGCTTACTATCACAGACTGAGACAGGCATACTTCGGTAACCAAAATTACCAAAATATGGAGGAGGACAAACACTTTAAAGCCCTGTTCATCCAAAACCTCCACCCCAGCCTCAGCCTTCTCCTAGGTGTGAGTGCATGCCCTGTTACACAAAACATGCGGCAGCTGAGGACTCTGGTTGCCAGAGCCCGAAGTATTCACACAATGAGATCCCACAACAAACCACCGGAGGCGCCCTCAGTCTACAGTGTTGGTAAACATTCTAAACTAAAGAGCGCCCCCGCCCACCAGCTGCGTAAAACAGCACGTAAGGCCAACCAGGAAAAGTCAAACTCCCACAGGCCAACGGCACGTAAAAACAGGCACACACAGGGCAGAAGCCAGCGATATTCCACAAACAGCACTGGCCCCCACCCACATAGCGGGACTCAAAACAATGTCCCCAAACAACCCTCAGGTACATTTAAAAACCATGTGGGGGAAGACCATAATCAATCGGACAACCTCACCTGGGAAGAGGAACAGCTCCTCCGAATACTCACTCGTAAAACAAATGGTGAAACGACAAACAAAGCTGACTCCCTTACAGAAAATGATAGTCCATACGACTCAGACGACCTTGACTACACAGACACTGACGGTGCTGAACCAATAAATCAGACTGTATTACAATCACAGGTCGACACGGACACTTGGGACCCTGACTGGCCAAAGGACAGTCAATACATTCCCCAAAAGGACGTTATGGTGGTACAGGTAAGTCCCTACACCGACGCTGGGGGGAAAACTCCCCCCACAGTCAGGTGCGAACCACCTGCCCAAACGTTAATTGGAAACTTGCGACTCAAAGGAGCAAACGGGACACTCCACCTTCCGGTGACTCTCGAGGACCAATGGAAACAGGACGCTATGATGGATACGGCAGCAGACATCAGTCTGATATCCAGGAATCTCTTTGGTAAGTTACAAATGCTCGCAAAAAAGTCTCACAAAGAACTAACCACACAGCCGTGCCACATGGCAACACGCCCCTACTCGAACGTTAAAACTACACTAACCAAAATGGCGCTGATACATTTGTCGGTGGGGCCAATGAAATTGGTCCACCCAATATATGTCTCGCCAATCAATTCGATCCCCCTCCTACTCGGACGGGACCTGCTGAATCGCTTTGAGCCGCTCATAGACTTTCAGCACCTAAATATCTGGGCACAGGTTCAAAAGCCCCTCCCCATGCCACGGCCGCCTGGCAGCGCCCAGCCCTACGCCGCGGCAGGCCAGCCAATGACCGCCCCAAAACCAGACGTGACTAAACCAAACGCAGAAGCTAAAAGCTTCACTGTCACGCCCAAAACAATCTCAACCAATGCAAATGCCAAAACGCGGTTACGTCATAGACTGCCATTTTACGCTTTTGAGGCACTCACTTCACAGGTGCTTGTGGTGCCCCAAAGCGTCAGGGGGGGTAGAAGAACGCAAGGTCATGACGTAACAACCGCAAGACACAAAGGTGTCCACAAACAACCACCACAACAGGTAACAAACCAGCCAAATAAACAAAAAGGCATCAACAGACGCCTGGTGTGAGACCAGCCCCAACTGGCCAGACCACCACACAGTGCCAAATTAAAAACCAGGTATGACCCCTCACCCCTGTCAAACTCTCTTGGACTGACCAGTCCAACAAAGTGGACCT